AGTTTGGAATGATGGTAACTTGTATTCTTTTTGACAAAAGTTTTAGAACCCAGGAAGCAAGTACAAACGATGGTATGGGCCTAGGTGCATTAAGTTAATTTTTATGTAGGCATGCCTATTTTTGTATACGTAAAATAATCACACATGTTGAGTTAAAACCCCAAGAATCTATTCAGACTGAAGTTTTTCAAAATGAAATGAAAACCGAGGCGTACCGTGTAGGCCTGTTAAGCTTGTTTTGTAGTTATTTTTCATTGATGCACATTAAAACAAGAACAAGCACATGTAAAATACTATTGTGCAGTAATGAAACATGGATCAGATATCCTAATGTTTATTAGACATTTGCTCCTTTCCTCAGCAAACGCACAACAAAAAACACAAATTGAAGCCCACTCCACCCAAAAAGTAGAGAAAAGGGTAGAAATCTGTCTCAAACTGAAAATTGCTTTTTACAATGACTGAATGGGGGCAACGGGAACTTAAAACAAAGCTGTTATATTTAATGTAATAAATGTTCAAGAGCACCCTCGGGTGTCAGATTCCTCTATCCTTTAATTTTACCCTGGCTAGAATGTTGATGGTAAGTGATAACAATTTTGAAGAGTTCTTCACTTTTCTCATTAGTAATGGTGTTGAAAATATCCAGACCTCTCAAACAATGGTCTAGCCGAAAGGGCTGTACAGACAGTGAAGTCTGGCCGTAAGAAGAATCACGGAGCTGACTTGGAGACCAGGCTACAGAAGTTCCTTCTTCTGTACAGAGTGACACCGCAAGCAACAACTGCTAAAAGCCCCAGGAAACTCCTGCACAGATGGCATATTCGTACATAGCTGGATCAGCTCGACCAAACCTGAATAAAAATTGTGGGTATACCACAGAGACTATCTCTTCAGAAGAGGTGTATTTCTGAAAAGAACCAGTGAGCATCAACTCGATGTTTTGGCCAGGATGCTATAGCCATCATCAGACCGTCACTCTCCTGAGGACGGCCAGAGCATCCTGGCCGAAACGTCACATTGACACTCGCCAGTTCTTCTCAGAACTAAACCTCTCCTGAAGATTTATTTTTCTATGGTGTGCATGCAAACCTACAGCTCATGTAACTTCCACCATACAAAGCTTCAAATCTTATTGAATAAGAAGATTAAATGGTGCCAGAAGTAAATGAAAGAGCAAGCTTGTAAAGAACTTTGGAGTAGGAGCCACTTGGCTGTGAGGTCAAGTTCAAAGTCTCCTGAGCTCAAATGTCTGTGAGATACAGCTGGATGATAGAAGATTGCTGAAACACCACATAGACCATGTCAGACACTACTTTCACGACTCAGTTTCCATGATCGACAGAAATCTCTGTTCTGGTCACTGCAGAGAAACATTATTCCGGCTCCCCACTCCAGTCAACCCAGCACAACCAAAACCACCTGTGGACTTCAGGCCTTGAATTAGGTAATTTAAGGGCAAGGCCACTTTGGCTTTGATTTAGCAAAACTATAGAGGGCATCATGGCCAGTAGGGAAGGCACCAAGGCCAGATAAAATCTTGAAAAGGGGCATGGAGGCCAAATGTTAATATTCATTCATCAAAATGTTTTGACAATCAGAACATACACAGTATGCATGCACGCACACACACACACGTGTGTAAACGCCTTCAATCGTGGACTCCCTATTGTTATTTTTTTTTCATTTTTTCTTTTTCGGAAGACCTCCCATATGTTTTGTACACATTTTCCAACCGTGGACTCTTCAGCAATCGTGGACCCTATTGTCCCCTATTATTATAGGTTCACGATTGAAGGCGTTTACACACTCACCTTTACATATGTATACATTTGGGCATTTCCGTTGTTCTCGTGTACGAAACTTCCATACAACACAGGAAAAATTTCAAATCACTGCCATTTCAACAAAATTCAGTTTCCTGGGTTGAAGTTTCGACCGTATGTCCCTTATATAAAACACTTCAATTTGCGACAATGAATGGCACTTGAAAATTCCTCCTTTTTGAGTAAATTTGAAATATCTATTTCGTGAAATTCTTGTGGGGTACCACTTTAGTACCCCACAAGGATCAAAACTGGCCTTGTGGGGTACCTTCCATTGTTCCGGTACCCCACAAGGCACAAGCGCATCCAAACACGCACTCCTCGTACACGGGCCTCAATGTGAATCAATGTGAATTGAGTACCACACATACGAGCACTGAGAAAGAGAAAGTCAGGCAACTCTACAAGTGAAATCTTTCGCACCTACTCCTGATGGAATGTGAGTGCTAAAATAGAGGTATTCACTTTTGCAGTGAGGGTGTCACTGCCTGAAGTATCAGCATATTCCAGATCCGTGCTTCTATGTACAACTGTGCAGTACATACACTGCATACTTTGAATGGACGTACACTGTGTACATTCAGTGCATTGACATCGAAGCCGGCGCCCGTTGTGTGCAACGTCTGTGCATCAATTCTGCTAGATTTTTAGACAGCCGATCGGGGTGGCATGACATCGAAATACACTTTCAATGGGTTTGCAAGCATCTGAAAAAAGGGATTTTCATGTTTTAATAGGCTTAGGGATGTTTATGGAAAAGGGTAAATATTGGGTAAGGCAGAACTGACGGTGAGGACGGATATTTTTGGGGGTACCTCGGCCAGTGGGAAGGGCAATAATGGCACCGGCTGTCATGGCTGTCATTCATTTCAAGGCCTGGAACGTCTGCCACAGTCGGCATCTGAGCCTGGCCAAGTAGAACAGGCTGAAGATCTACCATAAAGGGTGTCTACTCAAGTCAAATACTCACATAACACTAATCATCATGTGCACAACTGCAGTGTTTTGAAAACAATAAGACATCAGATTTTTCCCACCACTGCCCCTACACCCATCAGGCATTTGGCTCTGAATACTTGTTCTTAGAATTCAGGATTTTCTTGGCAAGTAGACGTATCAGCCCCACATAAACACAGGTTACAATTCATCAGCCAAATCAGTCAATTGTGACCCACTCTGTGAAAAGAAGTCTTAAGTCGACAGAGCCACTTTGGAGTAAAAAGTCCTTTAGAATAATTTTGCAGAGTGTAAACCAATAGGAACGCATAGCATTATTCACCATGGAATATCCACTTTCATTTGGATGCCAAACTGAGTGACAGATCAAAACAAAAAACTTAATTTACTCTTTCCAATACAAATTAAAACTCAAAAAGTGGCTCCGGTGACTTAAGACTCATATTCACCAAGTGGGTCACAATTATTCATCTGTTAGCATGTTCGAGTTATGGAGGATGTGTAAAGATTAAAGGTATTTTGCTGTGGTGCTACATGTATCGGTACATGTACCTGATGTCTGATGACTCAATTTTTTTGTATTAATTAAAGTCTACATAAAGAGGTTGATAGGTAACAGTGAATGCGACTCAAGAGTTCTTAGAAATTAGTGACAAACTTTTAAAGGCTCACTGTATCCAATTCAGTAAAGGTACTTTAAAAAATATCTATTAACAATATATTAGCTGACAACATTATAGAATATGTATGTCCATTATAAATGGGAGACAGAATCAATGTCTCAACTTGTTCAGTGATATGGTAAAACTAAAATGACCATCGAAAACATAAAAAAAGGAATAAAAGGACTGATGAAACCCGAGTAAGAACGACGTCAAACATTCCAGGTAGATTTATTTTCCTCCTGTGTTCCGGGTAATGCTATTCCATGGACAGATTTCAACAACTTATTCACATGAATGGAACCAATTCAAGCAGAAGAATTTACCAGTAATACATCTTCATTAGGGGTTGAGGAGTTGGGTTTGGAATTTGGGATTGGGACTGGGGGTCGGGAATTTGGGTTGGGGATTTGGGATTGGGGTTTTAGGGGGTTTGGAAGTTGAGTGTTTGGGAGTTGGGTGTTTGGCAGAAGCAGCTCAGGAGAATGGGGCATGGCAGAATAGGGTCAAGTTGAAGTGAGTTTGTATTGGGTTGGTGTACAGTTTGGTGTGGGTTGGGTTTAGGGCCAGTATGTTCTCACAAAACCAGTGCCCTCACTTGTCTGAAAAACCATGGATGATTTTAAATGTTAAAGAAAGTGCAATTTTTCAATGCACTAACATATCCCAAAGTCAACTAATGGGTTTTATACTGTAGAGTTCACAGTGTGTTTGAGAGAAATTTATCAAATGGACCCTCTAAGGTCATACGTCATACCAAAACAGGGAATCTGAAGAAATGCGAAGAGTAAAGACAATAGACCTTATTTAGTGAGACGCCAAATGGGGTGGTGCAGGACTATTTTGAGTTCCATGCCTCACTTTCACATTTTACATGTGGCTTAAAACATTTTGATACAGATTTTAATCAAAAATTTTAAATTATTCATCAGCAAAAATGATATTAATTTTTGATGAATTTTTATGCATTCCTTTCATTTTTATTCTCCAGTTCCACAAGTAAAATGTTAAACTCGCTTTCAATTCCATTGGAACTGCAATTGAAAGAAGTTTTTAAAACTCTTTTGCATCATCTCTGCTTTTTACGATGACTGATATTTCTTTTTCAATCTCGTTCCATCTTTGTCTGAATCTAAATGTGTTGGCATTATGGAAAAGCAAATAAATCAAAATCAAGTCAACAATTCAATGCGGCCAACTTGTGAATAAGGCCAATCATCACACAGACACAATGATGGCTTGTCTGCGCATGCTTAGTGAGGACATTATTTGTGAAATGAATATGTGATCATACACAAGCCCACACACCCAAAAACTGTTATGACTTAAACTGGGTACAGGCTTTATCAGATGTTGATAATACATCTTGTGAATAAGGTCAATCATCACACAGACACAATGATGGCTTGTCTGCGCATGCTTAGTGAGGACATTATTTGTGAAATGAATATGTGATCATACACAAGCCCACACACCCAAAAACTGTTATGACTTAAACTGGGTACAGGCTTTATCAGATGTTGAAGAGGAATTATCAAATTAGCCAAAGACTTACCTTAGCAAGCTCTGAGAACAAACTTTCCAACTCTAGTAATGTCAGATTACTTGCAATACGTCCAAGACGTGTTACGGATGTGTTCCGAACAAGTGACCACACATCACATACCCCACGCAAAATCAGGGTTTGTACATCAGTGAGGTGTTCATGGAAGCTATGATGACTGGCGTGTAACTGTAGCCACTCCATTATATGGATCATTGTCTGGTTGCGAACCACTGGCATATCACAAGCTGGATTTAATGTGACAAAACAGAATGAAACATTAATTCATATCTTAATGGGAATTAAACATGACAGATGATATCTTTGAAGACTAAAACAAATGTTAACAAATTTAATGTTCTGATGAACAACGCGACTGTACGTACAAGTAGGTTTTATTTGATCAAGTTATCGTACATGTACAAGTAACATGTTTGTTATAGCTGTGTTGTACTGTATATGTAAGAGAGGTTCAAAGTGGGTGTCATCCATCTGTGGAGATAGTCCATATTGTCTTAGGGGGCAAACTGTGCAAAGGTGGAAGTTCTTGTTACTGACTATGCCATTATCAACACTTTCCTCCCTGAGATGCCACCTGACTGCAAAACATTTCTCCAGTATCACAAGGTGGAAGTTGACTTCCAGTATGCTGCTTTGCCAATGTCAGCAATCAGCATACCCTAACCGGTTCATGGGATCCCACTCAGGGCAGTAGTAGGCTAACACATGGATTGTAAAATACAATGCCGCTATGATGAACATGAGGTTTGAAGGACCCAGTGGCCATTCCTCAACACTGGTGGCGCCCTTTACAGTTTACAGTATTGCTTCACAGATTATTCCCCAGCACATGGTGTCACTATTCAAGTCAGAAAAAGTGTATTGACCCGGCAGCCATTTCTTCACATACTTTGCTCTAAATTTAAGTAGATTTTCGAAGTTTTCTTCTTCAGATCACACCATCCATAGTGCTGTAGACCATTATTGTTTACGAGCCCTATTCAGGAATACGGTCAGCAGTACATGGCTGTGTTGAATTGGCCAACCCCTGTACGAAGCCAGTTGAAGGACACCCATTCTCTCCTTAGAAGGATAGCAACTGGAGGTAGAGCTGTTTGGGGGCTGACATTCAGTTGGTTAGGTCAAGGTGTCTGCTGCCAGGAAGATGTTACTGTCCAAAGACAGCAGCTTTGAAGCATGACGGGAGAAAGGATGGCATAACCTCAGGCACTGTTGGCCAAGGCGTTGTGATTCCTCGACTGTGTGGTGTAATAGATGTTATGGGTCTGTTAATGCTTTGGTTACCTGCCTGTGTGTGAGATACTCTCTGCGGAGAGGTACAGGTGCAATTTCCAAGAGTACAGGTAGGTATAAACCAGGTGGAGTTGGTCTCAGACATCCAGTGATAAGACTTGGTGTGTCATTCAGAGTTGCATCCGACTTCTTAGTGTGACAGCTTCTGCACCAGTCAGGGGAGGCATACTCCGCAGGGCAATAGATGAGGGCAAGGGCACTGGTACATAGGGTGGATGTAGTAGCACCCTAAAAAGAACCTACCAGGCGGACACCTTTGCACGCACAGACTCAAGGTGCTGTCTATAGATCAGCTCACTGTCTACCTTCAAACCAATATAAGTCGGCACTGTGTTGTATGGCAGGGCATGCCATCAAGGTTGATCTTGAGCTGGCCATTTGCCTCCTTGGTGTGGAGGTGGAAAGCTGTTGCTGTTTTCTTGAAGTTGGTGGCTAATTGGGTCATGTTGCAGTTTGTATGTCCTTTACTTTGGTCCAGACTCTGTCAGAGTGAAGGAGGGCAAGATCGTCTCCATACTAGACCATGAGGCGTTCCTGCAATATCTGCTCAGAACCTAATTTTCTTGATCATAGCGGGTCTATGTGGAAATGGTATAATTTGTTGGTGGATAGTATGTAGATTACTAATGCTTAAATCCCCCATCTCTATTGTACCAAGTTCTCAAGATATTAACATTTGAAATTTCCTCATAAAAAGCTCCCTCTATTGGTCAAATAGTGTCAACTGTCCACATTGTAATGGGACAGTTTGGTTTATGTGTGAAAAGAAATGTGAAGCCCTTTCTTTCAACCTATTTCATGTACTGGCCCCCTTGACCTGAGTGATGTTTTTATATCCTATATTACAAACTGCAAAGGTACAGTTACAAAATACATGTACACCCAAATAAAGTGAAATGAATCTGCAGAGCAACAAAGTTTTCCATTACTTTTTTCCTTCTGTTGTTAAGTGTTTATTTCAAAAGACACAATAGTATATTCTCAAAGGACCTGTAGCAATCAGCAAAGCAAAGGCAAGACAAGTACAAAATTGTGCTATAGCCTCAATGAGTCTATAAGGCTTGCAGTCCGTGTGTTGATGGGAAAAAATACAATTATGTGAATATACGCAACCACAACTTGATACTTCAACCTAGGATTTCCTGCACAGCCTCATCCCAACAGGAGGTGCAATGTTCGTTATGTGTACCTTGAGCAAATGAATTTGAAATTCCTGACCATCTTCGTAAAAGGACTCTATCCACAACAATGTATTGTACTTGTGTATGTATGCATTTCTGCATTTGTTTTTATTAAAAGACAATTTTGAAAAATTTCTTTTGAGATTTCATGCCCATTCAAAGACTGTTTGAATACATGTAGCACTTCATTTCTAAAATAACAACCACACTTAATCTGCATATATATTTCCCCCAACAATCAAAATATATTTTGCATACATCTTTTACATACAGTTTTGAACAAGAGCATAACATGACCGGTGCATTCTGTTTACCAATTTTGCAGAATTTTCCATAGATGTGATTTGTTTTCTTAAGCAGGCCTCGATCTCGGGGGGGGGGGGGAAGGGGCAGGCCACTTTGGCCTTGCCTTCATCAAATTTCAACAGGGCACTAGGCCAGCTGGAGGGGGCATCAAGGCCAACTATTTTGAAGCCTTTGATTTACATTTTTAACCAGTCATGTCATGAGTAGGCCTATAAGCTATTCTCTTCTTGAACACCATGCTATCCCCCTTCAATAAAAGGTGATTTTCATGCTGCTATTATTTGTCGCATTCCCTGTATAAAATTGTAATGTTCTTTTTTAATTAATTACAATTACCCGGATGATTTTTCATTCCAAATCCTACCTCTGATTTAATGCTTGCTTAGATTTCGTATCCCTTTCCCGTTAGAGTTCAAGGACTCCTAACCTCTGAAACTAAGTTTAAAATATAATAAATAGTGTTTATCCTTTTATTTAAATGAAATGGGGATCCTTTTAAAATGTTTACTGTTTGATACATGGTTACGGAAAACTCTGGTCAAAGTTGGCATCATGCAACTCGCAAGTTGGTCTTTTGATAAAAGTAATGATCATGTGTTGATGTATTTCCATTGATAATTTTTAAGTGGGCATGTTCTCTTGGTTCCTTTTCCACAAAACCACAAGAAAAAATCCTTGGTATAAAGTGGGCTGTAAACAAACAATCGATTTCTGGAGCTTTGTTGTTGTTGACATGAAGTAGGCCTACATGTACATTGCGTGTGCATGAGCGCACCCACAAAGGGGTTTCCCCAATATTTGCATCAATACCAGTACCCCCTCTTGTGCACGTGCATGCGCTCTGTCCCTTTTTGGAGTCACCCTATTAAATGAAGTTTTACTTGCAGCCGGCCCAAGATCAGGCCTGCACGCGCTGGTGCATAACATGTGCTAGCATTACGTCAGTACAAATGGCATGCATGGGTCGTCCTCAGTTTAGAGTGATGATCAAAATCGAGGACAAACCAGAAATAAGCCAGGGCAGATCAAAGCAATTAAATTTGGTGCAATGAATTATATGGATAGTATTAAGGTAGCACGCCACGTAAGTCGGCAAGCAGCACATGGCGGCATTTCGAAGTCATTATTTTTTCTAGTCAAGACTGAGTGCTGACTTTGCCGGAGTTTACAAGTTTATAAATACTTGATCCCTACTTTTTCTGGAAAACAAGTTTGCAAGCTTCTGGCATAACTGCTTCTGCCAGTGCCACTGCAATTGCCTACAGGTAGTGCATTAAAGCTGACTTGGTGTTCTTGAACAAGCATCCATTTTCACTTGCTATTGGCAGTAGCATTGGTCCCAAACTATAAGACAGAACTTCTTGCATGTTTGCATTCCTTATTCTACTGATGATGAGAAGTCGACCAAAGAGATCACGGTTAGCCTTCAAAGTGACTTGCTTTCCCTTTACTTATTTGGAAACTTTATTTCCTAGATTGGCAAATGTCAGTAACTTTTTTCTTCTTCAATGTACCAAAGAACCCATTCTCGCTAATCTGTAGCTCGTCCCTACAAAATTCCACAAATGCCAAATCTCCTCAGCTTTCATCAGATGTTCATTTATTTTCTTGGATACAACAGCACCAGACGAAATCTATACCAAGTCATTCTCTGAACACTCAAAGGGATTTATGCCAGTGGTCTCCATGACTGCCTGCGTAGCTTGCTCATCAAGTCGTGAACAAGTTGCATCAAGATTTTTATGGGATCTCTGTCTGTTAGGCGCCATCTAGAAATTGACGAAGTGTTCTTCCGCGGTTTGTTGGCATTCTTGCCAGTCAGTCTGTCCTAGTCAAGGAGGGCGAGAATACGCGGATTGGACAGCAGTGTGCGCTCTTGCGTGGCTAAGTTAATGAGCAGGGCCTTTGTCATCGCAGCAATGGATGCAACGAAACATGACTAACCTCATGAATACAGACGGCAGGATGCAGAATGCCCGTCCTTTAAATACAGTATGGCAAAAGTTTTGATACATTATTCGTGTATTTTATTGACAGGAATAGGCATTCTTTGATCAAGATGTATCAGTTTTTGTTCATTTTGCAAAGTGTGCATGAAAACAATAAACAAGCCATTTACAGATTGTCTCAACCAGGGG